AGGCCTGCTGCCACCTCCTCTACTCCTCCTACTCCATCCTCTTCCATAACCTCCACGGCTGAGTCCTCTTCTGCTGCTGCGTCTTGCTCCACATCAACGGATAGGGGACGTAACAGTGATTACAATAGTACTAAACACACCACTCCTATCTGGTGGCACATTAGATTGCACGCGCAGTGCCCCAAATTTGTTGTGATCTGTGAGTAAGGTAAACGGTTGTCCATACAAGTAAGGTTGCAGCTTTTTGAGGGTCCACACCACCGCCAGGCACTCCTTTTCAATGGCAGTGTATGTACTTCCCTGGGCAAAAGTTTCCGGCTTAGATAAGCCCCGGGTTGCTCGCCGCCATCTGCTCTGACTTGGCTCAGTACTGCTCCCAATCCAAACATAGAAGCGTCTGTATGGACGAGAAAGCGTTTAGTTGGATCAGGAGCAGAAAGTACAGATGATTTAATGAGCGCCGTCTTGAGCTGTTGGAAGGCCTGTTCACACTCTGGGGCCCATACTACTATCTTGGGGAGGTTTTTACGCGTTCCTATATGGCACTTACTGGGCTTTAGGGTCAGTCCGGCCTCCCTAATCCGGTCTAGTACGGCTCCTATGTGGGTCAGGTGTTAGGGCCAGGAGCAGCTAAAAATGGCTATATCATCCAAGTAGGTGCAGGCATACTCCTGAAACCCATCCAGTAGCCGATCTACCATCCTCTGAAAGTTATCCGGGGCATTCTTCATCCCGAATGGCATGGCCTTAAACTGATACAGGCCAAACGAGGTGACAAATGCCGACTTGTGGATGGCGTCCTCGGCTAATGGAATTTGCCAGTATCCCTTGCACAAATCTATTGTGGTGATGTACTGGCCTCTGGCCATTTTGTCTAGGAGCTCGTCTATCCGGGGCATAGGGTAGGCGTCTGAGGTTGTTTTATCGTTTAGCCTCCGGTAGTCTACACAGAAACGGGTCGTGCCGTCCCGTTTCGGTACTAGTACTACCGGGGAGGCCCAGGGGCTGTCAGAGTGTTCTATCACCCCTAACTGCATCATTTCCTCAATTTCTTTCTGAATATTTTCTTTAACTGCTTCGGGTATGCGATAGGCGGTTTGGCGAAGAGGGGGTCTGGTCTAGGGTTTCAACTTTGTGAGTGGTTAACGGACTGTACCCAGGTAGGTTGGAAAACGTGGCCCCCTTGTCCTGGATTAGTCTTTGGACCTGGGTTCGCTCCTGGGGGTCTAACCGTTCTCCTAACTGTACTTCTCCCAGGTCTCCGCTCTGGCCCTCTAGGTCTAGGAGATCTGGGAGTGGCAAATTATCATAATCTTCAGTGGCAGGTGCACCGATCGCGGTTACATCTTCCGTGCGCTCGTGGTATGGCTTGAGCATGTTCACATGGAGCATGCGCTTGCCTCCCGTGCCTGTGACCGCACCGATCACAAAGGTGGTATCACAAACCTGCTCTACCACCTTGTATGGGCCCTGCCAGGAAGCCTGCAGCTTGTCCTTGTAGACAGTGTCAATCCATATCTGCCAAGTGACCCTATGTAGGGGGAACAGTCTCTATTCTGCTCTGTATCAGTGTGTATCATGGTCTCTGAGGACAGGTGTCAATCCATATCTGCCAAGTGACCCTATGTAGGGGGAACAGTCTCTATTCTGCTCTGTGTCAGTGTGTATCATGGTCCCTGAGGACAGGTGTCAATCCATATCTGCCGAGTGACCCTATGTAGGGGAGACAGTCTCTATTCTGCTCTGTGTCAGTGTGTATCATGATCTCTGAGGACAGGTGTCAATCCATATCTGCCAAATGACCCTATGTAGGAGGAACAGTCTCTATTCTGCTCTGTGTCAGTGTGTATCAGGGGCTCTGAGGACAGGTGTCAATCCATATCTGCCAAGTGACCCTATGTAGGAGGAACAGTCTCTATTCTGCTCTGTGTCAGTGTGTATCAGGGATCCTTAGGACAGGTGTCTATCCATATCTGCCAAGTGACCCTATGTAGGGGGAACAGTCTCTATTCTGCTCTGTGTCAGTGTGTATCATGGTCTCTGAGGACGGGTGTCAATCCATATCTGCCAAGTGACCCTATGTAGGGGGAACAGTCCCTATTCTGCTCTGTGTCAGTGTGTATCAGGGATCCTTAGGACAGGTGTCAATCTATATCTGCCAAGTGACCCTATGTAGGGGGAACAGTCTCTATTCTGCTCTGTGTCAGTGTGTATCATGGTATCTGAGGACAGGTGTCAATCCATATCTGCCAAGTGACCCTATGTAGGGGGAACAGTCTCTATTCTGCTCTCTGTCAGTGTGTATCATGGTCTCTGAGGACAGGTGTCAATCCATATCTGCCAAGTGACCCTATATAGGAGGAACAGTCCCTATTCTGCTCTGTGTCAGTGTGTATCAGAGACCCTTAGGACAGGTGTCAATGCATATCTGCCAAGTGTGGGGGGAACAGTCCCTATTCTGCTCTGTGTGAGGAGGAGGAACGGGAAATGAGTAGCTCGGCATCCAACCTTGTGCAAATGGGGTCTTTCATGCTGTCGTGCCTGTTGAGGGACCCTCGTATAAAAAAGCTGAAGGAGAACGACCTGTGCTGGGTGTCCACTCTACTAGACCCCCGGTATAAGCAGACAGTGGCGGAAATGTTACAGAATTACAAGTTGGAAAGGATGCAGCATTTGCAAAATAAATTAAAAAGTATGCTTTACATAGCATATAAGGGTGATGTCACAGCACAACGGGAATCTAACAGGGGAAGAGGTGAAAGTCATCCTCCTCCTCCCACGACCACGCCATATCTGCCAAGTGACCCTATGTAGGGGTAACAGTCCCTATTCTGCTCTGTGTCAGTGTGTATCATGGTCTCTGAGGACAGGTGTCAATCCATATCTGCCCAGTGACCCTATGTAGGAGGAACAGTCCCTATTCTGCTCTGTGTCAGTGTGTATCAGGGATCCTTAGGACAGGTGTCAATCCATATCTGCCAAGTGACCCTATGTAGGGGGAACAGTCTCTATTCTGCTCTGTGTCAGTGTGTATCATAGTCTCTGAGGACAGGTGTCAATCCATATCTGCCAAGTGACCCTATGTAGGAGGAACAGTCCCTATTCTGCTCTTTGTCAGTGTGTATCAGGGAACCTTAGGACAGGTGTCAATCCATATCTGCCAAGTGACCCGATGTAGGGGGAACAGTCCCTATTCTGCTCTGTGTCAGTGTGCATCAGGGCTCTGAGGACAGGTGTCAATCCATATGTCAAGGTGTCAATATGTCATATGTCAGGTGTCAATCCATATTCATTGTGATTTAGGAATGTTAGGTGATTTCTGCCCTTTATGGATTAAAACCAGACTCTGCATCAACTGTGTAATTTTCCATGGGAGTTTTGCCATGGATCCCCCTCCGGCATGCCACAGTCCAGGTGTTAGTCCCCTTGAAACAACCTTTCCGTCACTATTGTGGCCAGAAAGAGTCCCTGTGTGTTTTAAAATTCGCCTGCCCATTGAAATCTATGGCGGTTTGCCCGGTTCACGAACATTTGCGGAAGTTCGCGTCGCCATTCGCGAACCGAACATTTCGTGTTCGCGACATCACTATTTGTGAATAGCTGGAATACATGCATATTGAGGTTAAACTGAATTTGCAGCTAACTGAAAGGCAGCTGAATAATAGTGCAAATAGGGCAGAAAAAAAACACATTTTCCTTTTGTGAAGAGCTAAATCAGATTCACATTACAAACATCTAGTAATCGTTCTACAGTCTGATTCTAATCCCCTTTTTTCCCACGCCAGGCTGGTCTTGCCGTGACAGGCTCTGCCTCCATGGCTAAGATCCTCAGTCTTGATGATCCCAGCCAATCCAGTGCTTTCCCATAGGAAAACTTTGCAAGTCTATTGCCCATGCTCGGCAAAACGCTGTGTTGTGTCAGTCTGCTGAGGCAGTGTTTACATTGAAAAGCCTGCAGGGACATGCTGTAGACACCACAACCACTACATTAAGCTATAGTTGTCCTGGTGTCTATAGTGTCCCTTTAAGCACTGTCTCTACTCACTCTTGCAAACACTTCTGAGCGCTACAGAATATGTTGGCGCTATATAAATAATAAGATATAATAAGCTAAATAATACTTATTCACTCTTGATTCTTTGTGAGTGTTAAGTTAACCTACAAATATAAAACGCAAACCGTAGCATAAAACTGTACATACAAATGTATATGGAAGTATAGGTGATAATTGCCAACTCACAGTAAGCAGTTTCACATATAGCAGGCTCTGACTACGTAGGCTTGTAGAAATCACTTTATCTGGTTGCCTCCTGTCCTCAACCTTTCAAAGAAAACAGGCATTCCTGGCTTTCAGTCAGAAAACAGACCCTGGCTGATCAATCAGATAGCAGGTTTGGTAAGCTCAGTGGAGATTTACCCCAATGAAATAATGTATAATTAAATGCGTGCACATATTCATTTTGTGTATATCTACTAATCAGTGATTTTATTTATTGTGCATTTGGGCAGTGAAATACCTTTAACTGTACCAGTTGGATGCACCAGAAATTGGTGGTTAGAATTATACATGTTACCTTTCCCAGCTAGAGGTACCTACAGGTGGAGGGTGGTTTTATAAAGATTACCTGCAGGTGGTGGGTAGTGTTATACAAATTACCTTTCCTAGTTAGAAGTACCTACCTGTAGCTGATGGGAGAGGTATATAAAGGGCAGGGCTGTATAGGCAGTTATTGTACTGCAGTCAGAATGGGACAGTGGGTTAGACTGAGTTGCCTTCTCTTGGTGTTACTGGTCTCTGGTCCAGAGTTGGCTGTTTCCAGGAAGCATGTCCTAGCCAGGAATCGGAGACAGTATGACTCCTGGTGGGGGAGGACACAGTCAGGTTGGGGGTCCTCCAGGCTGAATGTTGGTGTGGTGGGTCAGTCCAGACAGCTGCAGAGTCCAGACAGCTGCAGACTCCTGTCCAGAATCCTATTAGCGTGCAATGTATGGAGGACACAATGGTGGTATCTGTAAAGAGGGATCTCTATGGAAATGGGCGACTGGTGAAAGCCTCAGATCTGAGTCTGGGTCCCAGACAGTGTATGCCAAGCTCCCAGAGTACAGCAACTTCTGTGATCTTCCAGCAGGGGCTGCAGGACTGCGGCAATACTCTACAGGTGAGCGGGTCTGAGATCTGTATTGTCAAGGTGTTACTGAACACCTAAATAAAGTGCACATCCCATTACCAACAACACTGGTTGGTTAACTCAATAAAGTGAGACTTGCCCTGAAGACAAAGTGACTATAAATAAAATATATTCCAATATTGCAAAACTGAAAAAATAATCTGTCTTGGCCTTTGGATTTATTTTTTTTTTTTTTTTTTTAAGCATTCTCACTTTAGTTTAGTACTCAAACCCACTGGTATTTCTTTTAAAGAGCCCGTTAACCATATAGGCTGTTTAAGCCCATCTGTAGATGTTGGTTAAAATGCTACCTTCTTGCGTCTGCTTGTTGGGTCACTGGCAACAAGGATCTTTCATGTGATGTGCAGTAGGTAGATGTATTTAAATTTGTCTGTGTAACATAACTGGGGTCTCCATGCTGGTTTACTAACTGGGGAAAAAATTGTGGCAAAAGTGATGTTTCTGGTATTACTCCATTGAACAGGAGTATAATGGATTATAGTGCCTCTCTGTGAAATACTTTTGGTGTTTTAGGTAGACTGAATCACCTGATGGAAGTTGTGCAACCCCTTGATGTTAATGAAGCCATGAGATGTTAAGCCTTCAATATTATAGAAACATAGAATGTGACGGCAGATTAGAACCATTCGGCCTATCTAGCCTGCCCAATTTTTCTAAATACTTTCATTAGTCCCTAGCCTTATCTTATAGTTAGGATAGCCTTATGCCTATCCCACGCATGCTTAAACTCCTTTACTGTGTTAACCTCTACCACTTCAGCTGGAAGGCTATTCCATGCATCCACTACCCTCTCAGTAAAGTAATACTTTTGGATATTATTTTTAAACCTTTGTCCCTCTAATTTAAGACTATGTCCTCTTGTTGTTTTTAGTTTTTCTTCTTTTAAATATAATTTAAAGGGACTCCCACTACAAATCTGGGAAACACTACAGCATACCTCCCGACACTTCACACTTACTAATTCAACTAAAATGTTACTTGTAACACAATCTTATTTATTGACTGGTTTGTAACTTAACCTGTAGCCCTCATACTAACTGATATGGCTTTGAGTGCTACAACATTCATGGTGTGAATTCTCTCCCCAAGGAGACCTGATGTATGCTCAGCCATCTGCAGCCCTCTGCTATTTACATATGATAAAAAGGTTTACTGCTATACTGCTCCGGTAGACTTGACTAGGCCGGTCTTGTGTATTATTGGTAGAGGAGGTTTGTCTCTGCACGGTCTGATCTCTCCCTTTATGTTGACTTTAAGTGACATTGAGGAGCCCATGTCAAGATCTATATTTATCAGGAAGAACTGGGCAGAAGGTACGTCTCTTAACTCTACTCATGCTAATGGCAAGGTCTGACTAAGAGTTTGGGCCCAAACAAACTACATAACTGTCCCTTTAAAAACCTCTGACACTTTAACCCTCTAAATGCCACGTCTTAAATCTGCCTAAGAGAGAGAGATATAGAGATATATATATATATATATATATATATATATATATATATATATATATATATATATATATATATATATATATATATATATATATATAAAAAAATTTTTTTTTTTGAAGATTAATAACCGGTTCTCCTTTTAAACTTTTTATTTTTTGGGTGCCTAACATTTCATAATGCTTATTATAGCGTGTACTCCCCAGCAGCTAATATTGAAGGCTGAGCTTAATGTGACTCAAAGTACAAATATTGAGTGTTTGTTTGGAGACTCGTATTTTGGTTTAGTTTTTCTCCTGGATTAACCTTGCTTTGTGGAGGTTGCAGCAATTATCTCAACTATTTTGTTGGGGTTTTTTTTGGGGGGTGGGGTAATTGAATGTGAAAGTGGAATTCTTGACACGATCTGCAATACTTGGTTGTAGCCAGTACACTGTGCCATGACCTAACCTGCTAGTGTGAATTCTCAAAATATGGAGAATACTCCACTTTTTATTCCTTGAGGGAATTTTATCAATGTTGATCCTTGTGTCTACATATTTGTTTGGTCCTGTTTTCACTTTGGTTTTTTTCACTTCCTTCTGTCTTGTGTATTTTGTTGTGTGGGTTTTTATTTTTTCTCATAAACCTGGTCAAAATGACTGCCTGGAAACTGGTTGAAAATCTTGCCTTGTGTCTGCAGATGACTTCTGACTGGCTTATCTACAGCACAAACCTGACCTACAGTCCCACTCCTTCCAGGAACAGCCCCATCATTCGGACCAACTCTGCTGTGATTCTCATCCGGTGCTACTACCTCAGGTTAATATTGACCATTTATTTAATTTAAAAAAAAAAAAAGTGGAATGGAGCTTTGATATTTTTCAATTTCCGGATTGGTGACTTTATTTAGTGTGAGGTCACCACAAGGGAAGGTGTGTGTGTGTTTTAAGCTCATGGTGCTTCATATGCAAGGAGCCAACGTCTGCTGTACTATAACAGTTGTCTCGCTAGCGAGGAAATTAGACCTCCCCATAGGAAAGCATTGAGGCTGACTTAGTGCTGCAGTGTTTAACATTGCAGCAATAGGGACACTGTTCCCGGACCCCTTTAATGAGCTGAAGTGGTCTGGGTGTCTACAGTGTGCGTTTTTAAGAAACAGAACACTGTCCAGCATAGCATAGAACAGCAACAATTGGCAAAAACATTTAACTCCTGAATGTGTCATTTCCAGGAAAACTCGTGTTCAGACATTTTAAGGCTTCTATGTAACTGGAAATGAGAACTTGGTTACAAAAATTGAGGGGGATTAGTTTGCAACACTTAAAACTGTAATATATTTAACTTGCTGTTGGCATATCATAAGTGGTATCTAACGTATTCACTTTATCACTGCAGACATGGCAATGTGAGCAGCAATGCCATCAAACCAACATGGATTCCCTTCAGCTCCACCATATCTGTAGAGGAACGTCTGTCCTTCTCGTTGAAGCTGATGAATGGTACTTAAAGGTTGGATATTACAGGTGCCTTCTGACTCAACTGTCACTTACCCTATCTTCATGTATAACCTTCTAGATGACTGGAGTGCCCCGCAGACCTCTACAGTGTTCACTTTAGGTGACATCTTCCACATAGAGGCTTCTGTGGACACCACAAACCATGTGCCTATGAAGATCTTCGTTGACAGCTGTGTGGCGACATTATCCCCTGATGCCACCTCCAGCCCTCGTTATGAGATCATTACTCAGAATGGGTAGGTATTGCCACATGTGGATTTGTGGTAGCTGGTAATACCCCTTCTAAACCAGTCTGTGCTTTGCAGGTGTTTGTTGGATGGCAAACAGGAGGATTCATCCTCTGCCTTTAGATCCCCGAGGCCCACACCAGACCGGCTCCAGTTCACAGTTGATGCCTTCAGATTTGTTGGATCTGATAACTCGATGGTGAGACTGTCTAGCAGTTAAACCCAAATCTCCACTATTTGGAGTACTTCTGTATAAATATCTTCTCTAATCCTAGATCTACATCACCTGTAACCTGAGAGCTGTTGCAGAGAACCAGGTACCTGATCCCATGAACAAGGCCTGTTCCTTCAGCAAATCCACCAACCTGTAAGCATCCTCTAAGATTTTGGGGAAATGCTCTTCTGTAAGCAGGATTTTTTATTTATTTATTTTTTTTTTAAACATTTGCTTTTCTTCTTAGATGGACGGCTATGGAAGGCACTAGTGGAATATGTAGCTGCTGTGATAGTATGACTTGTGCTACTGCAGGTCAGAGCAGGCGTTTTGGGTCTCTCTATCCTGGCCACAGTAGAATTGGCAAAAGAGAAGCTGATCCTGGTAAGTTAAATAAGCATGTGGGATCTTCAACCACCAAGAAACTAGACTTTGATCATGATCAGTAGAATATTTATTGTAACTCTAAATCTCTCATGTAATCTAGTGAAACATTGGTTACTGTGTAAATGTGTGTAGACTAGTTCTGTCAAATGTTTAACACTTTCACTCCACCTTTTTAGTGCAAGAACATAAAGTGACCACACTGGGACCTCTGCTGGTGATCAGCACAGAACAGAGCCAGGCCCGCACTGTTACTCCTTTATCTAGTCTTGTGCAGCTATGGGTGGTGGTGGCTTTTGTCTCTTTGAGTCTTGTCATACTCACAATTTTTGGCATAGTTGGGAAGCGCCCCTTCAAACTACATTGTCGGAAAGCAGGTTTGAAATAAACAAATGCATTGGATTGAGTGGCTTGCTTATTCTAAAAGGTACTCCTGAAATATCACAAATAGACTTGGTTATGTTTTGTCAAAGGATGGGGCGAAAGAAGCTTGACAAATGGGATGCACAGTGATATAAAAATTGTATAAAACTTGTTCTGTGAATAGACTGCAGTTTCAACTACCTAATTGCAACTTGTTTTTATTTCTAAAATAGAAAGATGAAAATCTTTATTCTATGAACAGTAACTCCCCTCTCCCCATATTAAATTATTTCAGAGTCTGAAGTCTTGGTCTAAAAGCAATGGCCATAAACTGATCTGTCTAATGAACAAAATGACTGGATGTGGATGATCACTAAGGATAGTTAGTACATACGTCCCTCCTCCGATGTTGGCTACTTGCCATCTGATCTGTAAACCAAATGGCAAGAAAAGGCACTTGTCTGTGTACTGCAAAGGCTAAATAGTGTGTATGTCTTGCAGTACACTGCCAATCTTCAGTCCACGTTTGGTTTGGCTGTGGAGTTCAGATGGAACAAGGAGAGGTAAAACAAAGTATCACCTCTAGAAAATTGCATTAATATCACTTGATGTAAATTGTGACCATATTTACAAGATCTTAAGAGGTTATGGGTAAACCCATCCCTAAGCTTGTAAACCAATGACCCAAGTTGTTTGTTGTGAACAAAATACTCAGACAAAGCTGCTGTTAGCACAATAACCAGAGTATAATGCACATCCTAAAAGAATACTTCCTGCACATGTGCTCAGAAAAATGTATTTGAAACTTTAGAAACCTGATAACCCAGTAAACCATCACCCCACAGGATGAATACACCTAAACCTTCACAATACACAAATCTAGTGCTGTGCTAAACTGGTTCATGGTTTGGGTCGGTTTGCATGTGACATTCAGGGTTATTCACTGTATAGCTACCAATTGGTGAACAGAGCGGCGTGTTTTGGAGCGAACAAGGTAAGCTCTGTACTATCTTTTTTTTTTTTATATCCTGTGAGAGGTAGTGATGGCCCCACTAGCAATTCCTTGTTCTGAGCTCTTTCCACCAATATATTGGGATATTTATTACCACTCCACCAAGTTTGACCTGATACCCAGCATCGGATTCCTTTTGTGGAGGACTCCCTCCAAGGACAGTGCTGTGTGTAATCTTGTCTTTAGATCAAACCAAGTGTGTCTGAGTATCTTCCCCCTGTTCAGATTGAATATCATGAATGCTCTGAAGTAAATTACACAAGTTTCAGGTTAATGAAAAACTTTGGAATGTTTAATCAGGGGTGGTGGCAAGCCCCTTATAAAGCAGAAAATACATCATATGCTAAACATGAGATAACAGAGAATGCATCTTTATTGGTCAAGTATTGTCTTTTCTAATACACTTCCTCCAAAATGTGATGTCACCATTTCTTTCGATAACAGTCCCCCCTTAAAATGATTATTTACTAAAAAAAAAGCCATATCTAGCAGCAAAAGCTATCCCTATAACATGGGTCACTGCCCCCTCTTGATTTTTCAGCTTGTTCGTGTAAGATTGAAAATACAGTGCAATACCGGCGCCGGCCAGTAGGTGTAGGCGCTGTGTGTATGGAGAGAGAGAGACAGGGATAGGAAGCTACATATTATCCCAGTTTCTCTCTCCTGACTGAATCCGCAGGGGAGCAACACATACAGCCAGAGAGCCTACAGATCAGGTAAGTGAGCCAATGGGCAGAGAGAGCCTATAGATCAGGTAAGTGAGGCAGGGGGGAGCAGAGAGCCTATAGCTCAGGGAAGTGAGGCGTGGGGGAGCAGAGAGCCTATAGATCAGGGAAGTGAGGCATTGGGGGGGACAGAGATGGCCTACAGATCAGGGAAGTGAGGCATGGGGAGGCAGCCTACAGGAAGGGTCAGCAAGGAGAAGAAAGGTAAAGTAAGAGAAGGAATAGAAATGAGCAGAAAGGGACAGCAAGGAGCACAACAGGTAAAGTAGGAGAAGGAGCACAAAGGAACACAAATGAGCATGAAGGGGCTGGAAGGTAAAGCAGCACAAATGTAAAGTAGAAGGAGCAGAAAGCGTCAGCAAGGAGCTGAAAATGGCAGGAAGGGACAGAAGGAGCGCAAAGGTGAAGTAGGAGAAGGAACAGGAAGGGGCAGCAAGGAGTAGGAAGGGTCTGAAAAGAGCACAAAGGTAAAGGAACAGGAAGAAGCAGAAGGAGCACAAAGGTAATGTTGGAGAAGGAACAGAAAAGGGTAGCAAGGACCAGAAAGGGATCAGAAAGAGGAAGGGGGGAGTAAAATAAGCAGAAAGTAACAGAAAGGTAAATGAGCAGGAGTTAAGGAGGAGAGAAGACAGTGTCAGAAGAAAAAGAAGACTTTGTCAAATAAAAGAGAAGAAAAGGAGATTGGAGCAGGAAGGACAAATGAAGTGAACCCTCCACTTTATTCTGGACACCACATCATAAGACTTTGGTACCTGGGCCTGGCAGGGAAACTTTGGACCTCCTCATCTCCCCAGGTAAAAAAAATATCAGTGTTAATGTGTTCACTTTTATTTACTGAGTGTCAGGAAGCATAGAGTGCCGCTGGGGAGGGGTGTCGCTGATTGGCTAGAGCGGTCAACTGGCACTCTAAGTCAATCAGTAGCTCCCTATTCATAAAAAAGTCAAACATTTTTATGAACTGGGAACTAGTGATTGGCATAGAGCATCAACTGACCACTCTAGTCAATCTGTAGCACCCATGCCTGATGTCAATCTGAACTTCCTGACACTCGGTTTCAGAAGCCGAATACCACTGAGCGACCTGGAAATCTGGAGCTGGATGAAGTCTTTGGGGTTAAACCATTTGAGAGCAGTTTAACCCCTTAAAGGAAAGAGAGCACCCAGGGGCTTCCTGGCATCATAGCATTTTCATTTAGATGAAGTTGTTGTGGTGACCAGAATGTTCCTTTAATTTGCTTAAAGGAACAATATAGTGTCAGGAATACAAACATGTACTCCTGACAGCATAGTTGTGAAAACCCTATTCACCCTGGCTTTATGTGATAATGACTATGCTCCTCCCCTTCATGACACTGTCAAAAAGGGACCAAGCATGGATGTCATTACAATTATGCCCCCCCTGGAAAAATTCCTGCGGACACCCATGCCCTATAAGCTGTCCCTAGTAACCTACAGCACATCTGTCCAACAGGCCTTGGAACACTTTTGGTGCTGCACATAAGACAAGCAGTGGCTTGTCCACCACCCCCCTCGCTACAGACTTTGCCCGTAAAGACAGACGCTAACCCTATGGTCCCTAAAATAATGTAGCTTTGGTATTAGTGGGGGGGACTGCAACGGGGCATAGGGCTTGTCATAGTCCATCTCATTCATCTCCTGATGAATGAAAGTCGGTGTAGCCTGATCTGCTGTTTTCTCTAAACACTTCTTATTTCAGGGAAGAACACAACAAACAATAAGAGCAAGGATGATCAACATTATCAGGACCACCACACCTATTTGAGCCAGAACTTTTTGCCAACCAGATATCCACCCAAACCATCTTTCCCATGGGTCAGTGACTCCAGAGTTCCTTTTCAATTCTTCTGAGAGACTCTCTAATTTCTCTTTTGCCAGAGTTACCTTGCCATTTGGGCCTGTGTTGTCTGGAATGTAGGTGCAACATGTCATAGTGTCAAGGAGTATTTTACATACCCCCCTTTTTCCGCTAGGATCATATCTAAGGCCATTCTATTCTGGAAAGTCACCTGGGATGTGGCATGAAGTTGCTCTGCCACCCCTGGAGGGCATCTCTTGTATAGTTTACAAACCGTTGTTGGTTATAATATATATAATTAATCCAATTCAAATTCTTATTGGCCATGATGATAGGGAGCATGGATTCAAACCCTGCTGCAACTTCATCTCTTGCCTTGAATTCATTAGGCACCCCCCTTGGCACTCCAATGGAATCTATATATACATGGGGGGCGAAACTGCCATTTACAGGAGTGCCTCTTCTGGTTCTGATGTGTGAGTGTGACTTGTCATGTGCAACTTGGTGGCTGTCAGATATAATGTGTATTGGCATAATAACTTTGGCCAGGGTGCACCCCCCCACCATAAATTTTCCAGCCTTGACCTAAGCTGCATATCCACACATAACCAATACATGTCCCCCAGGGATTTGACATGTTTTTATAGTAGGGCAAGTGGATCTGTGCTATAGGTGGCCCACTTTTTACCAGTGAAATTACTCAAGGACCGGCCTTTTCCACCATACAGTTGCAAGAAAAAGTATGTGAACCCTTTGGAATGATATGGATTTCTGCACAAATTGGTCATAAAATGTGATCTGATCATCATCTAAGTCACAACAATAGACAATCACAGTCTGCTTAAACTAATAACACACAAAGAATCAAATGTTGCCATGTTTTTACTGAACACACCATGTAAACATTCACAGTGCAGGTGGAAAAAGTATGTGAACCCTTGGATTTAATAATTGGTTGAACCTCCTTTAGCAGCAATAACTTCAACCAAATGTTTTCTGTAGTTGCAGATCAGACGTGCACAACGGTCAGGAGTAATTCTTGACCATTCCTCTTTACAGAACTATTTCAGTTCAGCAATATTCTTGGGATGTCTGGTGTGAATCCCCTTCTTGAGGTAATGCCACAGCATCTCAATCGGGTTGAGGTCAGGACTCTGACTGGGCCACTGCAGAAGGCGTATTTTCTTCTGTTTAAGCCATTCTGTTGTTGATTTACTTCTATGCTTTGGGTCATTGTCCTGTTGCAACACCCATCTTCTGTTGAGCTTCAGCTGGTAGACAGATGGCCTTAAGTTCTCCTGCAAAATGTCTTGATAAACTTGGGAATTCATTTTTCCTTCGATGATAGCAGTCCGTCCAGGCCCTGACGCAATAAAGCAGCCCCAAACCATGATGCCCCCACCACCATACTGCACAGTTGGGATGAGATTTTGATGTTGGTGTGCTGTGCCTTTTTTTCGCCACACATAGTGTTGTGTGTTTCTTCCAAACAACTCAACTTTGGTTTCATCTGTCCACAGAATATTTTGCCAGTACTGCTGTGGAACATCCAGGTGCTCTTGCGCAAACTGTAAACGTGCAGCAATGTTTTGTTTGGACAGCAGTGGCTTCCTCTGTGGTATCCTCCCATGAAATCCATTCTTGTTTAGTGTTTTATGTATTGTAGATTCGCTAACAGGGATGTTGGCATTTGCCAGTGACTTTTGTAAGTCTTTAGCTGACACTCTAGCATTCTTCTTCAACTCATTGAGCAGTCTGCGCTGTGCTCTTGCAGTCATCTTTACAGGATGGCCACTCCTAGGGAGAGTAGCAGCAATCTAATCTCATTGATAGGACTCCAGTTGGCTGACATCTCACTCCAATTAGCTCTTGGAGATGTCATTAGTCTAGGGGTTCACATACTTTTTCCACCTGCACTCTGAATGTTTACATGGTGTGTTCAATAAAAACATGCCAACATTTCATTCTTTGTGTGTTATTAGTTTAAGCAGACGGTGATTGTCTATTGTTGTGACTTAGATGATGATCAGATCACATTTTATGACCAATTTGTGCAGAAATCCATATTATTCCAAAGGGTTCACATACTTTTTCTTGCAACTGTATATACCGTAGCAGGAGTAATTCCCTGGATATATAGTAATACCCTCGTCTGGTTTGATGTTCTTAGTCACAAGTGGGTATTCCTTTTTCCATGATTCACAAACTGACTGATTAGTCTTGAGGTTAGTGTAGAGGCTTAGGAAACACATTTCTATGTCGGGGGTAGGACTAGGGGTACAGTACCTAGGTGGGGTCTGGCTCCTCCACAGACATAGCAGTTAGTTCTGTTGTGTTTGTTAGCATTATATCTCATCCATTCAAACCATAGGTTAGTGTCAGAGAATCCTGTCTCTGTAGCCATAGTATCTTCAAATGTAGGGTTTGCTATGGCCACCATGTCCTTTAAAGGTCTAAATGTGAGGTTTAAGTGGGTTAGTAATTACATGTTGAGAAGCTACCCACTCTGGTGACTGATACATGTGTTGTAGGTAGAAAGTCCCCTGTTTATTATAGGAGCCCCCCCGTTTCCAGTACATTCCCATTACATACTCGCCAGCATCTCCAGGGCTGGGATGTTCTATATTTAGGGTAAGTTTCATTGGAGTCGCCCCTCCCGGTTTCCGTAAAGTCATTCTGCGTAATAAGGACTCCCCATTTCTGTCCAACCTGTCTAAGGCACTCTGTGGTTTGTAGCCCCAAGCTAGCCCTGGGTTCCAACCTGCCACCCTCCAGGAACTACAGTCATGTCCCCAGTAATCGTCTGCAACACATATTAAAGGGTCCTTTATGTTGGGAATATCTTTGTATATTGTTTTTACCAATGATTGTGGGAATGTACAGCTGACAATATCACAATAATCAAATGTAAAGGTGGCCACATGTATGTTAGATGAATTGTACCAAAAAGTGTAAGCATTAGCATCTTTAGTAATGGCAACTTGTTGGGCCCTTGTCAGACCTAGCAGCAAAAAGATACACAGGATAATCATGGCTTAGGACAGTCCGCCTCCTCAGGGGCTGGAACCTTCTTGCAATGGGAAGCGTGGATCCAGGTGCTCTTCCCGGCCAATTTAACAGATGTTTCTGTGACTGGGAGGACTTGGAAGGGACCATCATATCTTGGCTCAAGAGTGTGTTTTCTCACGAATTTCTTAACCAGAACCCAATCACCAGGAAGCAATCGGTGTATCAGACTCTGAATCTGCAATGGAAGAAAACACTTATGCATGGATTTTGGTCAATGCTCGGTAAAAGGGCAGTTACATAGTCAACTAATATATCAGACTGGAGTTGGAGTTGCTGAGGGAAATAGCACCCAAGTCTAGGGGCAGAACCAAACAGAATCTCATAAGGTGATAAAGCAAACCTCCCTCTTGGTGTGTACCTTACACTGAACAGAGCTATGGGGAGACTCTCTGGCCAGGTCAGGTTAGTTTCTTGGGCCATTTTCAGCATTCTGGCATTTAAGGTGCCATTCATGCGTTCTACCTTGCCACTACTCTGTGGGTGATAGGGTGTTTATGGAATGCAAGGGTCACCCCCCAGTGCTGCCCAGATTTCTCTGGTTACTGATACAGTGAAGGACTGGCCCTTTCTATCACTTCTGTGACCCCGTATTTGCATATTACTTTGGTGAGCAGGAGTTTTGCTGTGGTTTTATAACCACAGCAAAACTCCTGCTCACCAAAGTAATATGCCATCCTGAGAACATGTCCACTATGACTAGTGCATATTTATACTGGCCACTCTTTGGCATTTGAATATGGTCAACCTGGATTCTTTGGAAGGGATAGTGAGGTTTTGCTAGATGCTTCGGGGGAGCTTTCTCCATTCTGAGTTGCATTTGGCACAGATGGTGCAGGATTTGCTGTAACTGTTTGTCAGAGAGGTATTTGTTGATCAGGGAGTTCATGAGAGTCTTGGACAGGTGTGATGCACCATGAGCCCCCTGGACCACTGCTGAGTACATGCTCCTGGGTAAACAGAACTTGAGATTGTTGGAGTACAGCCCGTCTTTAAGGGTTGCCCCTTTCTGTCTCCAGCTTTGAATTTCTTCAGGATCAGCAGCTGCTTGTCGTTCTTTCAAGAGCTTGAGGTCTGTGGGTAAGGTCTGCATGGTAAATATAGGAATCTCTTCAGCGGTTACACTTCTGTCCACCTTGGTGTATACGCAGCATCTTTGGTGGCTTGATCAGCTATATAGTTGCCTCATGCTTCATCCGAGTTCAGTCTCCTGTGAGCCTTTACCTTCGGTACAGCCACTTCTTCAGGGAGAAGTAGGGCATCCATTAGCTCATTGATAGCCACGCTTTGCTTAACTGATAAACTCTTGTCTTCCAGATTAGTCCGAAGTCATGTGCCACGCCTAGTGCATATCTTGAGTCAGTGTAAATATTGGTGCATTTTCCTTCAGAAATCTTGCATGCTGAGATGAGGGCATGTATCTCAGCTTCTTGTGAAGACATGGATGGGGGAAGTGGGGATGCTTGAAGTACTTAATCCTCTGTAGTGACAGCAAATCCAGTATGGTATCTTCCATGTGCATCAGCATATCTGGAGCTATCCACAAACAGGTTCTTGTAAGGCAGTTTCATGCACAGTTGGGAGGTGTTGTTTCCATTTTCATCTGTTCGAAACAATCATGAGGTGCTTCTGGATCTTGGTCTGGGTTTCGGTGCATGTTTCTGTGTGGAATCGAGGATAGCTAGTTGCTTTGCAATTCACAGTCCGCTTGGTGACACCTTCTTTAGAGAGTTGGGTCTGGTCTGCAGCACTACATGCTTTGGCCAATGGGCCAAGTTCTTTCCATGAAGTCTGTGGGAACTTGGAGAGAGACATATGGGGAACATCTAAGTCCCAGTGGTGGTATAGGTGTTTAACCTCCGGAGGCAGGTGGACTAAGGCTAGACAGTTGCCTTTTGTGTCACAGAACAGATCTGTTATGGTGAGCCGCACCTCCACCAACTGGACAGGTCTTCTTCATAGTGGGGTTCGGGTCCTGGAGTATTTCTGAACCACAAGGTGCAGTGTGGGAAAGGCTGAGTGTCATGTGGAACAGGGGGCTTGCACACCTTCATGCGAATAATGGAGTCTGGGTCTATATCGAGGCTGTACCAGTAGTAATTCCCCCCATGGGAAGTGGCAGAAGAGTGGCTGGGTTGAGAGAGTAGCATCTCTGCAGTGAAACATTGTCAGGCAGCAGAAGAGAGCACTGAAGACGAAGGTGGCGAGCAGCTGAGAGGTGCTTAGGCTGAACTTGGTTGAGGATGGCAGCAATGTCACGAGGAGCAAGAATGGTGAGTTTATGTCCAAGTACCAAGTCACTTGTCTTGTCAATGAGGGCTTTTGCTGCAAAAACTGCTAGAAGACAGGAAGGGCTTCCTCTCACCACAGAACCCAGGTGGTAGGAGTAGTAGCCAATGAAAGACAGGCATGACCCTGTCTTTCTGACAAGAACAACTTGAAGGGCTTCTGATAGTCAGGTAGGTCCAGAGCCGGGCGGGTGAGATGGCACATTGTAAGACGAAGAAGCAGGACCTTGCCCCAGAGGATAGGGAAAACGGTTCAGTCTTCAGGGCATCATAGAGAGGTTGCATGAGGATTAAGGCCTCAGGTATCCAGGCCCTGCAGTAAAATATTAGGCCCAGGAAAGCATGGAGGGACTTGTGTGCTTTTGGAGGAGAGATAGCTAAGATCCCTCTCACCCGGTCCCGGGTGAGATGGCGGGTGTCATGGGAGAGACAATGACCCAGGAAAACCATGGAGGGCAGGCACCATTGCAGCTTCTTCTTGGAGGCTTTGCATCCTTGTTCAGCAAGATAGCAGAGTAGATCTTTAGAAGTACATTCAGCAATAGGGAGGTCATCAGCGCAGAGGAGGAGGTCATCCACATATTGTAGCAGGACCACATCAATGTGGGATTTTTGCCATGAGCCCAGAATCGAAGCAATAGCCTTGGCAAATTGACTAGGAGAGTTTTGTGCCCCTTGAGGCATGACAGTCCATGTGCTGCTGTACACTGAAGAAAGCATTAGCCAGATCCACCACTGTGAAGAACTTGGAGGTAGGTGGGATCCCAGACAGTAGTGTATGAGGGTTAGGTACAATGGGAGTTTCTAGGACAGTAGCTTCATTGACAGCTCTGAAATCCTTGACCATTCTGTATTTTTCAGGCTCACCCTTTTCAGGTTTCTTCTTCACAGGGAACAGGGGAGTGTTGCAAGGAGACACACACCTAACTAGGGAACCAGTGGACAATAGGCTTTCAACCTGCTGAGAGATGGCAAGAGCTTGGGCAGGTTTCATAGGATACTGTGGCCTACGAGACAGGCTGGCTCCTGGGAGTAATTTCACCATGACTGGGGAAACTTGGAGGTGTCCAATGTCTTCTGGTCCTGTGGACCATAGCTTGGAGGGTATTCTGGCAAAGGCACTGGGGGAACCATCTAGGACCCTTGCATCCCTACCAGAAGTCTCCATGTGGAGCAGGAGGGGTATGGAGCAGGGGGCTGAAGTATCAGCAGTAGACATGGAGGAGGACAACTGAACCTGGCCATCTGGGGTGAAGGAGATAGAGGCTTGTAAGCGGGAGAGGATATCTGCTCCTAACAGGTTAATTGGGCAGGTAGAGGCAACCACAAAGCGGGCCAGGAGATCAGGGTAAGTGCCAACTTGTAGGAGCTTAGTTAATGGGCTACTCCATGGATTGCCATCTACACCTACACAAGAAACATCAATGTTAGAAAAGAAAGAGGAGTCAGGCAGGTCTTGTTCTCTAAGGACACTTCCGGCTGCGCCTGTGTCAACTAAGAAGGTGGTGGGGTGGCCTTCTGCAGGTAGGACCACTGTGGCTAGGGGCCCACCCTTGTCCCCTGACGACACTGCCATGACAGGGGTAGGTGACACAGGTTTGCCAGTTATCTATTGCAGGAGATCTAGGTGTGCTTGGTCAGGGCCAGTATAGGGGCGACAGGCTGGTGCAGGGGGAGGAGATGGATAGTGGACAGCAGGCTGGCTGGTTGGGGGAGGGGGATAACTGGCTGTAGGGTAACTGGCAGCGGGATTAGGAGCTACGGGGTAACCAGGGGCTGAGAACTGTGAGTAACCGGCTGCAGGGTGAGGCTGCTTCACATCCAACATGAACTGTCTAGGAACCCTAGGGGCAGTACATTGTCTCCTGAAATTACCAGATTGACCACAGTTAAAACAACCTCTGTGTTGCGGCATAGGGGGTCAACAAATAGGTAAATCTGAAGGCAAGGATGCATACCCAGGAGGGGGTGGGGGTAGCTGTGCAGGGCGAGAGAACATAAGGGGAACTGATTTCCTCGGTGAGGGTAGTTGGGAGGACTCCAGGCCCTTAGCAACTAACAGAAGGGTATCCAGAGAGATGTATTCAGGGCAGGACAGAATCAGGCCTTTGTGGATGGATTCTTCAAAGCCCGCTACGAAGGCCGCAGACAACATTTGGGTGTGGGCCTTGTTATACAAACTGAAACCCAGGTCAGAGAAGGTTTGGAACAGCCTGGAGTGGTACTTTTCTACAGATTCTGTCTTATCTTGGATGACATCGTTAATACAGGTAGCCTGATCGGCTAATTTATCTTGGGCCCACAGTCGGAGTTGTTCACAGAATTCAACACCTGAGGGGAAATCAGACTCATGCACTAGAGAAGTGTCTCTCCATAATAGGCCAGTAGGTGTCACCTGCTTTGATTTCACGGAGGCTGAACAAGTCACGCCATGCAGCGGAATAGGTCTTTCGTATCTGGGCACTCCTTAGGTAGAAGGGCATAGGCTGTTTCTCTGGTTCTGGGAGAGAGCCCACCAGAGTTGCGGCCTAGGACGGGGTAAATGAGACATACATCAAAGGGGCTCCATCCGTAAGAAACTGGACTCTAGGATTCTCGCCCTGGGGGACTCTGGGATTCTCATGAAGGGGTGAAGAAGGAGAAGGCTTGTCCCCAAATAGGCTACCATCATCCAGAAGAAGGAGGGGTGGAGGTGGAGGGACCTGGTACACATGAGAACTGGTGGTGTCGGGGGAATCAGGGGCTTGCAGCGAGGACTGGAGAGTTGGAAGGGGGTAAACGAAACATGGGCTCCCCCTTGAGACGTGTGGGTGGATCTCCCGTAGCAACAACGGTTCCATTCATCATGACAGGCATAAGAGAGGTAGACATCATGGGGCAGCCATGACAGGGGTGGAGATGGAAGTGATGGCAGGCACGGGAAGGGAAGTGAGGGCCATGTCAGGGGCAGAGGCAGGAAGTGAGGGCATAGCAAGGGCAGAAGTGAAAGGAGCAGGAGGCAAGGGTGGAAGTGACAGAGGAGGATATGGCAGGGGCAGGAGTGACAGGGGTGGATACCATAGGGGCGGCAGGGGAAGTCACGACAGGGGCAGGTAGGGAAGGCATAACAGGCTCGGGGCAGTACAATGATCCATCCCCTCTAAGGACGGGGTACACAGGGGAGGAGGACAGGGGGGCGGTGACTGTAGTCACTAATAATTGGGTGGAGGTCACGGGGACTGGACCAACCTCCATCCCTCCGTGCCAGGCGCCATGATGGGGCGATGGCTGGCTTGGGTTTACAACAATACTCTCAGCAATACAATTACTTTCATGGTATACATATAATTTCCATCCCCCTAACTCAACTTCTTTCTCTACCCACCCCTCCTGCTGGATTTCCCTGGCAACTCTGAACCAGGCTTCCACAGTCTTAACTAGGTTATTGTCCTGCAATCATCCCTTAGTCTCTTTTAGCGGCTTACGCCAGCCCTCAGGCTGTAGTCGTCCGTTGGGAGACATAGTAATGCCACAGATCTTAGCGATCTTTGTCACCTTCCCCACTGTCTCTTCTCCCTCCCTCTTCCTCACAATATCACAGGCTAACCAGCCATCCATAGTGGGTTTCGTATGCTCCTGTCCCATCCTCTCTAAACAAGTCGTCACAAGATAGAGACAATCAGGGAAAGGAACGTCTACAGTGCTCGACTGCCACAGGATTTTACTCAGTGTCCCAAAACATAGACTAGTCACTGGGTCCACCTACCTGAGGTGGTGGCGGCGGACTGGAGCGAGGCGAGGAGTATGTGAACAAACACTTCTCTCATCAGAATAGAAGGGGAAAGCAGCAAGACATAGGCTTATACATTACACAAAACAGTTAAAGCAATCAGAAGAAACATATAAACCCAGTACCCCAGAATATAAACGAAAAAACAAAACACAAAACCCTTAATATAACTCAAAAACAATGCCACGTGCCTTACTTTGCTAAGGCTAACAATAAACCCCAGCCGCGCGCTTACGGTGCTACGACGCTACGGCGGTCAAACGTCCCCTGCCGCGTGCTTATGGCACTACAGCAGTAAAGTAAGTGAGCATCCCTCTGCCGCGCGCTTATGGCGCTATGGCGGTAAACCTATAAATGCACCCCCCCAGCCATGTGCTTACGGCGCTACGGCAGTAAAGTTACAAATCGTGCGAAATTCCTTCCCCTTATGCAAAAGACATTCACACCCAGGAGGCAGATAGTCACTATACAGGTTCTATACAAAGTGACTCCGGGCAAGCTATTTACCTGTCTTTGATGCCTTCCAGCAGCTGATGCAGACACAGAGACAGGCCAATTACAGGGACAGGATAAGTAGGCAAGGTGCTGCTGCAGTCATTACCATGTATTCAGAGTTGAATGTCTATCGGTCTGCCCCCGGTGTCTTCTAGGACGGCTGGCCAGGAAAGGTCACAAACCCACGTTGGGCGCCAATTGTTTTAGATCAAACCAAGTGTTTGCATGAGTATATGCCCCTGTCCAGATTGAATAGAATGCGTACACGCGCTGAAGTAGATCACACTGAGACACAAGTTTCAGATTAATGAAAAACTTTGGAATGTTTAATCGGGGGGGTGGCAAGCCCCTTACAAAGCAGAAAATACATCATATGCAAAACATGAGATAACAGAGAATGCATCTTTAATTGGTCAAGTGTTAAGTGTCTTATCTAATGCACTTCCTCTAAAATGTGATGTCACCATCATCTCGGGATTTTACTCCGGATGGAGACGCCATCTTGTTACACGAGGTGGTTATTTGATGGGAGGGGTGCTCTAGCAGCAATTTTGAGAAATTCTGAATACAGGTATAGATAGTAAATAGACATTTTACCTACATTAATTTCTATCCATAACACTCTCCATGGATTATTTACCTCCATTATTTTTTTTATTTTTATTTTTTACAGATTTACCCTCCTGCTATCATAATTTATAATGGGTTTATTTACCTATTTTTATTCTACATGTCTTGATCTATCCTGGGTTTGACAGCTTGGACAGCCCCTATGTTTGCTTGCATTTTATATCTTTGCATTTGCACAGGGCAATTCCATTTAGAGGAGTGTCTGTTCCCTTTGCACAGTCTGACAGGAAGTGCTCACTGAGGACACAGAACTACTTCCTGTCATATCGGGTAGAGGAAGAGAGGTTCCTCTACCATGGTCTGCCTCCTTATGGAGGCTGGTGATGCTGAGCAGGTACTTAGCAGGGGACAACGATGGGCATGGAGGGACAGAAGACAGTAAATTCATCTGCAAAACGTATAACATTTGAGGTGAATTGTATGACGTTTGCTCACTACTTAATGTCCATTTTTAAAGGCTGCCTTTATCTACCTTCAAGAAGGAGGGAGGATGGGTTACACATTGAATGGCTGATCGGGGACAAAGAAATATGAAGAGGCCTGCCTACCACAACAGTAAATAAGGTGAGAAGAGCCAAATTAGGCTTGCTTTGTTAATATATTATGAACCAGGGCCAGAGTGTTAAACAGATGGTGGAGGGATCATAAATGTATACTGTGCATGCACAGCGTGCAGAATCTCTCCGAAACTGATTCTACATCACTTCTGGTTACACGGCCGCAACGGTGACATGTTTCAGAAATAGAACACCACCTCGACCACTGCTGTCCTGAAATGATTCATGCCTGAAAAGTGTCACCAACGTGAAATGTCTAACTTGTATAGCCTCTAAGACTAGAACAATATCAGAACTATCACCATCGAAAGTATATATTATAGAATTGCATACCTTCACTAAGCCAAAATGGGAGTACAGGCCACATCTGGTTGTAAGTCAAGGCACGTGAGTGTAACTAATGGAAACTGTCAGACATTTTGTGGCTAATCAATGCTATATTGCAGTCACTGTTTACAACTGTGACTGCATCTTGTTTTCTAGCAGTATGTAAAAGACAGACACGTTTTGTTTTTCTGTTCATTCATCCAGTGAAGAGACAAGGTTTGAAAACCAGAGAAATCTCATTGTATCCATCCTGGTAAAATATTTTATAAATAGAAAAATACATTTTATTCACAGTCCAGATTGTAAACTGGAGAATGTAAATTTGTGTAAACATTACACTACCTAAGATCTAATGTAAGATAATGTGTTTGAAAGAAGGGGGGTTGAGAAAAGCCCATATTTTAAAATATGTCATTATAAGCTTGATTAAAAACACAAGATGTTACTCCTCTTTAATATATTTGTTTTATTATATTCATAGTATCTGTTGAATTTTTAGGGTGTAACTTATGTTTCTTAATTTAGATGTTTAGCTAAGTTGCAAGAATGTACAGCCGTTTTTCTATGTAATCATGTAACCATGAAATGTATATACTGCCATGAGAACTGATCTTGGAGAGACATTCTTTGTTGGAATCTGCCTGCTGATTATTAATTATTAATTTTTATTAATAATTATTAATTTTTAAAGAAAAGGATAACCATCTTCCTCCAATGAATGACTACGATCGGATGACTAGACTAAGGACCATAATGTGCTGGTAGGTGAAGGGACCTTCTAATGAAATCACCCCACTTTTCTTGAATAAACCATTATAAACCATGGATTTCACAATGGTTGTTGTTAATCGATAACATTTTTTGTGCTCAACTACATGTCAAGTTATATGCAGGATATTCAAAAAGAATGGATATTATTTTAATGGGAATTATTCAGCTCTGCAGCAGGACATCTGGATATCGTTGAGGGCGGTGTCATCTCCTCTGCCCTGTACTTCTTCAACTTTGGTCAGGATCCCACAAATACCATAATTGCAAGAACTGCTCCATTCTCCATATGTTCCCCACGGTAGTCCAACTCCTTCTTTCACGCTACCATCTGAACATCTAAACTTGATGTTGTTGACTGCGGTATCATCACCATTTCCTTGTGGTGGCTCCACATTCAATGAGAAGGAAATCAAGTAACCATTTGAACAATAAGAATAGTCTGTCCATGTGCCCCACCTAGAGATATATTAAAAATTATACATAAATAATGAAAATAAGTGCATTCTTAATACCAAGATTAAAAACAAAATGATTTTGATATGTTTAGGAGAAGAACACGGCTTAACCCCTTGAGGACCAAACTTCTGGAATAAAAGGGAATTATGACATGTCACATGTCATGTGTCCTTAAGGGGTTAAACAAAGAAATTACATGTTCATACATGAATCACACTCATGATTAGAAGAACACAATCCAATAAAATTAGTGGAATTTATAATTATTTTTGCTGTAAGACAAGTAGATTTGCATAGCTAGAAGTGTTGACTTACCGTCCTTGCAAAGACGTGATTGTAATTGCTGAATAGCTTTTCGAATGGGGAACACAATTTAAGCTAATCGCATTTACAGCTGTGTCATCACCATCTCCCTGTTTACGTTCAGCCTAAATACACAAAAAAGTATATAAAATCAAAAAATCTTAATAATTTGAGAGAATATATTATGAATTCCACATTTTCTAAATGTCTTGAATATGCTTTTGTCATTAAATCCCTTATCGTGAGACGGAAACTTTAACACACTGAAGGCTACATCACCTAGTACGGCAGTAGGCCTCATATTTGGAAGAGTCTGATGCATATTAGGAGTTCATCTATTTTGTCGATTACAGGGCAGACTATAGAAGGTGTGTATACATCTTCATAGCTGCACGATTCATAACTATATGTAAACATTTATTATTGTCTAAACTTCTATGATAAAATGCTCATTCTGCCTATAAACAAATATTCCAGACACTGTCTAAAATATTGTGACTCAATTGGTACCTTTTCTCTCCCAAATCTTTTGTAAACGATGAATTGACAGAAAACAAATATTAAATAGATTTTCATAGCCTTAATAGTCTTGCAATAACGAGTTTGTCCATCTTGTGTTTCAAATACATTTTCAAATATTTCTTTCAAACAAAAGAAATGAAGGTGTTGAAGGGTCAGCCCGCTGTAGTGTGACCTAAAAACAGTGATAGCTAATATAAAGGATGATATAAAATAAATTTATTTTGACTTGTTTTTGTTGTATACTCATTATCATTGAAAAAAGCAATGAAGAAAAGTAAATAATATAATCTCTCTCTCCCAGTCAGGAAATTGTTATTTTCAAGTGTAGTTTTATTTTCCAAAAGTCTCTGTCCAACATTTGGGTACACTTACCCTTTTAAATCAAGCTGTTTCCAGCAACACATGCTAGCAATGAAGGCAAACGAAACAGTTACTTTCCTTCACTACTGACTACTGGGCCACAGGTCCTGAAGGTACACTATAGTCACCAGAACAACTACAGCTTACTGTATTTATTTTGGTGAGTACAGTCAGTCCTTTCATGCTTTTTGTAGTAAACACTGATTTTCAGAAAAAAAGGAGTGTTTACTAATCCAGGCTATGGATACCTCAACTGGCCACTGCTCAGATGGCTGCTAGAGGTGCTTCCTGGAGCAGTGCTGCACAGTGTGGCTGACATTCAGTGTCTCCACCCTCTACATGGAGACACTGAACTTTCCTCGTAGAAATGCATTGATTCAGTGGATCTCTATGAGGAGATGCTGATTGCTCAGGGCTGTGTTTGGCTCTACCCTTGATCTGCCTCCTTGATAAGCTCAGCCAATCGTATGGGAAATCATTATGATTGGCTCAGACCATCACTTCTGATGATGTCAGGCAAGCAGGCAGATCAGGGGCAGAGCCAGCAGCAGACTGGAAAACAAATACGATTTTACTATATTTAGGGAGCAAAGGGGCGCCAGGGGGGATAGATCGTGTTTTTAACATATATATTCCTGACCCTATAGTGTTCCTTTAAAAAAAAACACCTTCAGAATCTAAGTAATTTGGGTGTCCTGTGAAGTAATGTTTGATTGTATCTTTTGTTTCAGTACGTGTAAATAGCTCATTATTATATAGCTCATTATTTAATGGAAACAAAACAAAAATTTGGGTTATACAGAAAAACTTTAAAAAAAATGTAATATAATAAAAAGTAAAATTATTTCCCAAATATTGAAATAACATACCATATCACCCTCATTGCAGCCATGTTGCTTCTTTGGATACTAATACATGTACATATATATACACTGACACATGCACGTTTACACATACTCTAATACATGCACACATATACGGTCATGTACACACATACGTATACACAGATATTCCAAACACACTCACTGATACAACTAAAAGACAAATACACACAGATATTTAATGTCACCACACATAAACACACATTCTCAGATGCACACAGGTACACCCAGTCACACAGACATCAAAACACACTGTTAGACACATACACATGATGACAGACATACACATTGTCACACACACACATACGCTGACAGTTATACATGCTGTCAGAAACATGCAGGCATATACACACAAAAACACTGTTAGAAACACACACAGATTTACCCTGGTGATGTAGTGGTGATAGTGGACTGTAACATCAGCCATCATGCTGCTTTCCTGCTCCTTTACGAATGGTAGTGTAACTTCACATAGTAATTGTCACAGACCCACATTCCAACTGGGAGAAAGGCGCTATATAGATACTAGTTATAATTATAATTATTATTATTATTATTATTCTGCCCCCAGCTGGAATTGGGAACCTCTGGGGATATTCCTGCATGGCGAGTGCCTGACTGGAACAGTTTGTTGGATTGAGTCTGTGACCCAGTAAATCTTTGACTGGGTATCGCTCAGACACCCGACCACCAATCAGAGAGCAATTTGTACAGTAAGGGCGCTCAGTGGCCAGCTATCCAGGTACATATAATGTGCAGAGGTGCTGTCCTACACATAACCCCAGGAACCCTGTTTTGTGAGCCGGAACTAGCCAGCCGCATGCCTGTAACCGCACCAGATCCGAGAATAGCCATTACCCATAAAATGGTTAACATGCTGCCACATGGGCACACATTCTCCAATCAAGGTGCTATTTATAAAGTAATAGTACTCATTGATGAGCTACTCAGTGGCAGTTAACATGAGGGGGTGCTGTGCTCCCAGGATCCCCATTTCATAAAACCAGTACTAACCAGCTGCATGCCTGGAACCCTGTGCATGATTGGAGAATGACCACGACCCAGTAAAACTTTAACAAGCTCTAACTAGAACGTGGATTCTCTGATCAAACTTATTTTGACAGTAAGGGTGCATAGTGACTACCTATATATAGACATATAATGTGAGGGGTGCAGCTCAAAGAAAGGGGATTTGGGGGGGAATTTTGTACATCTTGTATAGGCCTGGGAAGGCACAGTCATACTGGGTATGACGTACTCAGTGGAAAGTACCTAATGGTACTCAGCCAGAGTACAGGAGCTCTGTTACAGTAAAGGAGCAGGGAAGAGAGTGCTGCCTACTGCCAGGAACTACAAAACACATTCATTCTGCCAGCTTTGCAGCTCCTACAGCCTCAGCCACCCTCCGATTAGTGGATTAGGGAGGGTGGCTGTCCCATTGATTTGCAGCACCTCCCTGTGAATACAAGCAGAGTGCAGAGCTGATATCACAGCCATCTACCCTGTCCCCACTTAAGACAGCAGCCAGCTCACTGAAATCTGAGGGGTAGCAGCCCTCCCCGCGTTGCCCATTCCCTTGGCAGCATTATCTCATGAAAAAATCTGGAGGAGGAACAAGCACAATCTGCAGATCTCTCCTCACCAGACAGCAGACATGTAAAGTCAGTCACTCCCATCAGGCTGGATATGTAGCAGCTCTGAGGAGAACAGCTGCTACGGAGATCTAACACAGTCACTCAGTCTGTGTTCAGCACTATGAAGCTGACAGCTCGGTGGCTTTTGGTTCCACTGAGCTGTGAGATCCTGAACTAACTATACGCATAATTTGCAAACAAATTTGTTTGCAATAAACTGTATTTCCTGTATGCTGTCTCAGCCGATCATACACATCAATGATGGGCAGCTGATAAATCCCAGCACTGCTCACAGTCATCAGTTAGAGCATGCAGACAGACAGCTGTCAGGACATTTCCTCTCCCTGGCAGGCCTCTGAATTGCCATGGCTGTACCTGTGGCTGTAACACTCTGTAACACTCTACGGTAATGTAAATGGATTTTATAAGGGTGTATGCAACAATCACTTTGAGCACTGCATACAGCTAGTTGGTCGGCATGGGACCATTAAATATGGCCGCAACTGACAGGGGATAAAGATCCATACCAGGGTCTCCTTGATGTGAGCAGTGATTTTACTCACACCATAATGCCAGCATCTTCCATGCCACTGACATGTAACGTCCTAACTGCGGGATGGGGTTAAACAAACAAGAGCTTATCACCAAATCATTTTCTTTACAGGTAGTCACTTCTTTCAAAGCTGCCTGATTCTGAGATCCTTCCCTGTTCTTTTTCCTGTTATGCTAAATAGCCCACATCTTGCAGTACATTGTTTTTTAATATATTCATTACATATATGCCCAAAAATATTATAAACCTCTTACATTTAAATTCTCAATGACACATGAATCTCACACAGTGCCAACAAGTATTACCAGTTTATCATTGCACTGAGGGACTTTTCTGAAGTGTGTATACCATTATTTTAATTACTATTTTCTTAATAAGTGACGCTCAATAACTCTACGGCTAATCAGCCTACCATAAAATGTGTTTGCGCTTATTACCGTACCTTGAGAGAGAATCCTTTGGCCACGTATCCTTCTGGACACCATTCAATTCTTCCCCAGTTGCCCCACCTGCCTCCGTTCGATACACTGATAACAGCATAGTCACTAGTTACTAAGGAGAACAGAGAGAGTAGGATAATAGAAGAGACAGTGAGAATCATAGTGTAGCTATGCTCTGTGTCAGCTTGAGATGATAAGAGAGGCTTTAAACAACTGGCCACAAACTCTCTCGTTTATATAGTGGATGAGCACAAAGGCCACTGTGAGGTAGCTTCCCATAAATGTCATGTTTCCGTAACACCTGTCTTCCTAGGAAGAGTATAGAACAAACAGATGAAAAGGATTTCATCACACTGCACGTTATAGCAGCCCCTGTCGTTTCAAATAATTATTATTACATTTGTTTAACTTGGCAAAAAAAACAAAAAAACAACTATGGAAAAGGGTACATAGGACATGATGAATAGGATGCATAGTATAGTGTAATATGTATAGAACACAATATATACCCGAGAGTGTCCCCTTCTTATACTTTCACACTGTCCTAAAACTTTTACCTGTATAGTAAGTTGACATAGGTTTAGCCCTCCAGCTGTGACAGACCACATTCAGAGGGAGTAGGGGCTTAAATGTTTTAATTTTGTTAGTAAATGTAATGTTAATTGTTACACCCAGGCCCAGAGTTTGTTCTAGTAGACAAGTGATCTTTTCAAATTTTATGCTTATTTCCATATATATTAACTTAAAGGGTTACTTTTTTTAATTTATTTTGAAAACATGATTATTCTATTTATAATGCCGCATTGAACATTATTCATAGGGCCGCCCACGCCAGTTTTTAAATAATACCTGCAAAAATAACTTTTAACATATCTAGAATCCATGCTGTATTAACCCCATACTGGCTGTATCAACCCCTATACTGGCTGTATTAACCCCAAGTTGTGCTGTGTTAACCCCAAGTTGTGCTGTGTTAACCCCATACTGGCTGTATTAACCCAAATACTTAGGACAGGAAATATCAATCAAATAGGGTGGGAGTGAAGCAGAGCTGGAGGAGAGGGTAGAGGGAGCAAGAGACAGGTATGTAAGGTAGAGGTTACTCTGGGAGGCCATAAGCTTTCCTGAAGAGATGGATTTTAAGGCTCTTCTTAAATGATTGAAGACTAGGGGAGAGTCTGATGGCGGTAGGCAGGCTATTCCATAGGAAAGGAGTCACCCGCGAGAGATCCTGCAAGCGCGAGTTGGCTGTACGGGTACGAGCAGCGGTCAGGAGGTGGTCACGGGCAGAGCGGAGGGAATGAGGAGAGGCAATCCTATGGATCACTGAGGAGATATAAGAGGGGCTAGAATTGTTCAGTGCTTTAAATGTTAGCACTTTGAATTGACTCCTATAGGATACAGGGAGCCAATGTAAGGACTGGCACAGGGGTGATGTGGGAGAGGACCGACTAGAGAGGAAAATCAGTCTAGCTGCAGCATTCATTACAGACTGTAGCGGGGCAATCCAGTCAGAGATGGAAGAAAGGCAAGCAGTGACACGTTGCAGGACAGCAGGGGAGAGGTCCGGGGAGGAGAGGTATATCTGAGTGTCATCAGCGTACAGGTGGTAGTTGAATCCAAAAGAGGCAATAAGCTTGCCAAGAGAGGCAGTATAAAGAGAAAATAGAAGGGGACCAAGGACAGAGCCTTGGGGAACTCCAACCGAGTTAACCCCACATTGACTGTGTTACCCCATACTGGCTGTATGAACCACATACTGGCTGTATTAACCCCAATACTGTCTTTACTAACCACAAGCTGTGCTGTGTTAACCCCATCCTGGCTGTATTAACCCCAATATTGGCTGCATTAACCCCAAGCTGTGCTGTATTATTACTATTAATAAAGCTCTAACAAATTCCATAGCATTGTACAATGGGTGGACTAACAGACATGCTTTTGTAACCAGACAAGTTGGACAAAATGTAGCTCATAGAGCAGCGCAGCTAAGTGGAATGGGCCTTGGCATGGCTAGGAGACAGGCCTAGGAGTCCAGTATGGGGGTTTGGGCTAAGTAGGTGGGGTAGGGTTTTGGCTATGGGAGTATATATGAAATGGCCATTTTAGATTAGGGGTCATCTTAATTTAATCATCACTTACCTGATTTGTGGCAGGTATGTGTGGTGTCTCCTTCTTGTCTTTTTCAGGTGCTGCTAATCTGAAAATGGAAGAGTGACTGGCTAGTGTCAGGGCTGCGGTTCAGCAGAGAGTTGATGCCTGGCTCCAGGAACACTTAGGAGAGGTCCCATCTGGGCCTACTGCTTCGGGGTCCACCACAACAGTTGAGATATGACCTGGACACCCCACTCGGAGGACCCAACCACCGCGGTGCTGTATCCGCCGCGTGGAGGAGGGTGAGTCCATCTCTGGAGGCAAGGCTGGACTGCTGTAGTCTGCAGGAAGCCCGGGAGTAGGGAAGGTCGTGGCCGGCATCGCACTGTGAGTATGCCTGGGAACAAGGATGAGTCGGCACATTCGGGCCACAAACAGGAGTGTATGGAGGTTGGGAAACAGGCACGTTCGGGAGCAAGTTAACGTTCTGTCAGGGATCCACAGGTGGCTAGGAGGGGAGGCTGCACGCCACTTGCAGCACTCACCCTCGGTCCATTGCCGCCCGTGGTCTCCCCTCTGCTTACCTGTCGGCGAGCGGCGTCTCCTCTCTGCTGCTTGCCGCCCGCGTCCTCCACGCCCCCCAGCAGCAGCATGTATAACGCTGCATGCTGGGAGGTCACTGAATTATGTAAACGCCAGGGTCACGTGAGTGACCCGGCGTTAAAGGAACAGTACCACAATCACAGTGGGAGGTATAAATATCCCCCACGTGTGATTGTTAATTCTGATTGGAAGTTATCCAATCAGAATTAAACCAAGGGTATTTATACTTACCTTTCCTGTCCCTCAGTGCCCTGTTGTGGTCTTGTGATACCTGTAGCGTGGTGTTCTCGTCTTGCTCTCTGGTTACTGATTATTTGGCTCGTTATTCCGATTATCCTGTCTTCTCCACTCCTTTGACCTCGGCTTGTTTCTCGTTCTCCCATTTTCTGGCTCCCTTTACTTGGCTTGTCTCCTGAATATTCTTAGCGTGCTTAGCCCGGCCACTCTAAGGACCGGTATAGCACCCTTCCTCTCTGTGACCTGTTAGCGTGTTAGGTTCCCGAATCGTGACACGTTCAGACCGTGAATAGGTGAATGCAGGAACTGGCAAACATTCTGGCTGCGGACAGGTGAATGCAGAAAGTGTCAAACATTCAGACCATGAATGGGTGAATGCTGGTTCGGGCAAAAAGGCTGGCCGCGAACAGTTACGCAGGAGCATAGGGATGCGGGTGCAGGTTCGGCCCGTGAATCCAGGATTTCACATGAGGTGTCCATTCTGGCTGTGTATGCAGGACTTCAAGGGCAGTTGGGAGATCCTATGGAATGGCGGCCTCTGCTGCAGGCAAGAGAGATGCTGGTAGTGCTGTTGGTCAAGATAGAGCTGCGGATTTGGCTAGAGTCATACTCTGTGAGTTGTCCCCCATCCTTATGGGTCACCGGTCATGGGGAAGCAGGCGGTGGACGCACCCTCTGGCCTTAGGTGCCCAGGCAATGGCAGGGTCCTCTGTTCCTGATAGACAGGTTTCCCTTCCCTTTGGCAGGTCATAGGAGCAGAGTTTTTCCCCAGTATCAGCTCCCAGGTCACTGTCACGATTGCCAGGTGGGAGCAAGGGTAGCTCATGGTGGGAGATGAGGCAGGAGTCAGGTAGATGGCCGTCTACACCAAGGCAGTCGAGCAGATCTCCTACACCGGGGGGCAATAAGCACTGCACTCAGGATGTGCATGTTAGGCCCACGGGGGGCACTGACAGGCAGGGGATGCAGTACAGGTCTCGGAGTGGTCATAGTGACCGGGAGTGCAGCTATGGCAGGAGAGCAACCAGGGCGCCTAGCAAGAGGCATTGCCGGGGTTCCCCTGTAAGGACAATTGGATCCTCTAGTGGGAGTTCCCGGGGTGGATACAGGTAGCGAGCAGTGAAGATAAGTCACGGCCTTACGGGTCAGGATAAAAGGCACAGCCGGGATAGGTCAGGGGGTCATACGGCCTACCCAGATTGCTTTTTCATTCCAGGTCACCAAGACGGTCGCCCTTGGTCCAGGTGAGACCTCGGGAGCTGGTCTGGATTATTTTCTTCTGGGGCCCCCATCTGTGATTTGGCATAATATGACTGCATTGGCCTTTCTGTTTAAACTCAATGGTTGGGGGGATGTAACTAAACATTTCCTTGCACGTCAGGCTATTAAAGGGTTTCAGAGAAAGAGGTAATCACAGGATTCGCACTGCCCGGTCTCTTTTGAAATTCTGCAAGGTAGAGTTTAGTTGGGCTTTCTTTAGGGTGTTTTGGATTTGTGAGTTGGAGAGCAGCCACTCTTCGGGTGATGGGGGTTTACGGTGTTCGGAAGTGGAGATTTGGAAAACAACGGGTGGTAATTAATTTACGATGGTCCAAAACTGACGTTTTTGGGAAAGGTTCAGCGGTTCCGCTGTTTTTGGTGCAAGGACTGGCGGCATGCCCGGTGTCTTGTTTCTTGGGCTTTCAGGCGGTGTGTGCCGAGGTCGGCGATTCCTTTTTGTTGCATATGGTTCAAAACTGACGTCTCAACATGTAAGAATTCACTGGAGCAGGGCACTAGATTTGGTGAGCAGCCATACTGCACATACCCGGTCCCTAATCATGTAACTCACTGAGCAGGCCCTCAATCCCTCTGTTACTGTGTCACTATACCCCACTCCCTCTAACATGTAAACTCACTGAGCAGGCCCCTCAATCCCTCTGTTACTGTGTCACTATACCCCACTCCATCTAACATGTAAACTCACTGAGCAGGGCCTCAATCCCTCTGTTACTGTCACTATACCCCACTCCTCTAACATGTAAACTCACTGTAAATCCCTCACTGACTATACCCCACTCCCTCTAACATGTAAACTCACTGAGCAGGCCCTCAATCCCTCTGTTACTGTGTCACTATACCCCACTCCCTCTAACATGTAAACCACTGAGCAGGCCCTCAACTGTCAGTAAACTCACTGAGCAGGCCCTCAATCCCTCTGTTACTGTGTCACTATACCCCACTCCCT